TTAACAGATTTAAAAAAAAAATTTCACCATCAGAAAGCTACTTTATCCCAAGGATCTAAAATCTATATTTTATCTCGGTAAGTGGTTTTTATAAAAATAATAGAAATGATAATAATATAATTTTTTTATTATAGAGTCGCTATTGGTGGTTAAAACATTTTGTAAATATGAATATAAGAAATTAATTAGAATAAACTATGTACAGTTGTTGTAATATTAGTGTTGATGATCCTTATTTCGATTTAATTTTAAATGGTAAGAACAGTCCTTGATATGAGTTGAATCCGTGATTTGTCTGAAAGTATATCTGCGATTCGTATTTGGCGTAGTATTTATTTTAATCCGTCGTATTTGGCGTAGTATTTATTTTAATCCGTCGTATTTGGTGTCTTGTTTTAATCCGCCGTAGTTCATTGTTTTTTGTTTAGTAAACTTTACTTGAGTGGTTTCGAGTTTCGACAATATCCTATACAACATAGTATCATATTTATTTTAACAATTATATAAATGTCCAAAATATTATTACAAAAATAATCAGAACAGTTTAATAGAGGTATATTATGTACGTCCCTATGTGTTTCATTATTTTAACGAAATTAATATTTTACTTTTCGATTCGACCGGTGTTAAAATATATATTCTTTTTTCATTCAAATTTTTTCACTTGACATAAATTTGGTGTGGAATTTTGATTTGCACATTATGCCACTATGCCATTCACATCGATGCGATGGCTTATTAATTGCCTGATGCCGTGCACGTCTTATACCGGTGTACCTATAATTTACGGATTACGATCGTAATAATACTTCATATAATAGGTAGTCATTATAAATTCAGAATTGTGAATTTAGCTTACTAAAGACTGTTATAATAGTGCATTTATAAAAGTTATAACTTATGTACACTTATAAATGCCACGAGTGCATGATGAAGTATCACAACTTATACACTAAAATTTAGCCAACTATACAAAAATGTGTAATATCAATGAAATAAGAAAAGACGACATGTGCCTGTTTTTAAACCAAATTCCAAAAATTTTATAAAAATGTTGACAAAAAATAGCACATACCTAAATATTTGTATACATTTATATAAACAAGTCATAACATACTCAACTTTTATAACCTAATTACATATTGTTTCATTTTTTTGGTATACACTTTACGTATGAAAAATATTTTATGAACGTTTACAAAATATAATTTCGTGCTTGCGCCAGTAGGTATATATAGTAAATAGTAATATGCGTAGGCCTCTTAATTCCTTATTATATTGTTTTAAACGTATGTTCGTCTGTAGTGGTTGGATTTTAGGTCTTCATAATTATACACTTTACCTAATAGTTACGAGTATGATGTAGCTATTTACAAAAACAGCTTTTTTGATCTTTGCGTATATTAATAGATTATGAGCAAATTTTAATTTACTCTTTGATTCTATTCTGTTTCATATTGGCTAACTAACTTTTTACTGTGTTGTAGGTATTATACTGGTATAAATAATATTGTCATCCGTTTGGAATTAAGTGATTTATTGGAAATATATATCATATACATCATTAATAATATATCATAAATTCTTATTTATAACCAATTGTTATAATAATTACGCGTATAAATGCAGTGACTCATTTATACATAATATTATACTTTGCATCAGTAATAAGTACGTGCTGAATATTTGTGGCTTATTTTTAAAATCGAAATCATTAATCAAAACGTTAGCCACCGGCTTAACTTATATGTTACTGGCAAAAATCGAAATCGGGTAAAACGCGATCTGCAGCCAACGGTACTTGGGTAAACCATTAGATTTTGACTTTTGTTCTTGCAAATTTAATTGTGATTAATACCATTTAGACAAAACCATATCAACATTTTTGAATATTTCATAATATATTTAAGTACTAAGTAAGTACCAAGTTTTTATTTAATATTGCATACCTAGTAATAATGTAAATTTCACGATAAAATAAATTTTGTGCAAATATAATTATATTATGAGTTTGTCGTAAATTGTATGATAAGCAGTTTAGCACTATAAACCATATACTGCAGTTAAACCTCTAAATACCGAACACTCTTTGATATTGAATTTTGTCTGCTATTCAATTTGTAGAAACTTTGTAGTTTGTTCCCCAAAAAAACGTTCGCTATTTGGAGGTATCCGTAGAGGAGGTTTCACTGTAGTAGTAATAGTACCTATACGAATCCTATAATTGCAAGGAAGAACGATGGTATTATATTTTTATTATGCATACAAAAGTATAATTGCTTATCATCGCAATATAGTAGTTTGTATAATACTTTTACTGTAACTACATCAGTCGTCTCGAAATTAAATTGAATTCCGAGTTGAAATTTATTTTAGCTATATGGTCCTTTTTAAATTTAAAATTCTCAACCCTCGATGAAAATGTTTTTATTTTCGACCACTACGTGCACGCGTATTCTTTTTTAGATCAATGACCGACATTTTCAGTCATTGTTTTTGTTCTGAACAATTCTAAACTCTACGTCTGCAGACAATGGGAAAAAATTAATACATAGTATGGATTCTCATGTATATAATATATGTGCTTGCTGCATGCGAAAATGTATGTGGTTTATTTTTGTGTGCATCATATATGCATCTTGAGTAGTATAGATGTGCATCATTAATCATTATTGTAAACCACAACCCCTAAATTTCATATTATGAAATTTAAAGCTTCATAGTAAATAATTTTAGTACAAAAAATTGAAAACAAACTCGATTATATATTATTGCATTGATTTTCTTTAATACATCCATAGTCCTGCCATCACATTAAATTGAGAATATTTACTTATAATTTCAAATTAATCGTTCTATTAAACAATATAATAAGGTACTAACAGATAACAACAATTTATATTTTCAAAATTGAATTTTATATTCTTTTAACTATATAAATTATATAATTATAATAATATAACACTGACTTACGAGTATTGCTATACCTTAATAATAATTACCATCGACGATTTTAAAACATAATATTAATATATTGATACATAATATTATATGGATTTTAAACTGAATAAATGGACCTAAGACCGTCAAGAATGACGTCGAATAACGAAATTCTTCTAGTTAAATACGAACCACTAACAAGTTCGTTATACATAATTGAAATAATTGTGTATATTAAAGAAAAACGTCTTTGCAGGATGACATTCGGATTATGAGTTAGTTAGGTAGTAAGTAGATAACATCTGTTATCTTTGTCTACGCATACAATCTATATGTACAGAAAAACACTTCACAATTTTTGTATTGTAGTCTAACTTAACAATAGGGTAAATTGTCAAACATACATATTAGTATATTACATATTATAATATATAGTAACATAATTAGTATGAGTGCTTATATAAAATAGAATAATATAAATACGACTTGTTCGTCAACGAAATCATCCAGCAACAACACATCGGCTGTTTTTAATTAAATTTTAAATTTTAACATCTTATCATTTTTTTTATAAATTTAATATTTAATTTGTGTTTAATAAATACTAAAATGCTAACATAGTTTTTTGGCCATGTAATTTCACCATTATTAAGATGGTGAAATTTTAGTTTTATGTATTTACTGTGTACTTTTGTATTGTAATAACTTCAACATATCTACATAATTGTTGCCGATGTTACCGGATCACTGGGAATTGTTGTTTTTGTATATCGAACGAACATTTTTATTTTATTACCCTACCCCGGTTTAATCGAACTAGATTAATTTTATTTGTCAAAGCTTAAAAATAAAACGTGCATAGATAACGACAACCTACAGTTTTTGACGATCCACTGCAACAGGCGTGCCGCTTTAAATTCGAAAGCGTTTATCGCCTAATTGATTCGGTCGAAAGATTAGAATTTTTAAACGTTTAAATTTTGATGTACATTTATTCTGAAATTTAAACCATATATGACCTGACCTACATATAGTTTTACTGTCCTTAAAATGTTTAAATGTTTTCCAATTAAACTTCTTAATAATATTGTGGAAATTATTAGTTTCCTATTATTTTTCTAAATTCAAAACGCGATTTAAATTAATTTTTTTGTTTTTGTTCAGAATTGAATTCGACTATTTGATAATACTAAAAAATATAAACATTTATAATAATACTTTCATTAATAAAAGTTTCTCAACTTCTGTTATCTATCTTGTAGTCAATATTAAATATAGTTTGTTCATGACGTACTTTTCATAATTTTGGGAATAGAAATATACTAATGATTTTATCTGAAAATAATAAATAATAGTTATCTAATATAAATTAACCGGCAGTAGTTACTTGGCTTTGTTGAATTTTTCAAATGATATCAGACTATAGCATAACTAGTAACCACCAACCACCAACCACTCTATTTAAAGTCATCTCGATTTCATTAATATAATTCTATACCGGCTTAATCTGATTAGTTCTTATAATAGTGTAATTCATTGTTTTCATCATTATGTAATGAATGCATTTGGTAATAACTTATTATTTGGCTTCATCTTATGCGAGTAAATGTTTAATCGGCTTTAATAGGTCAAATTACAATCATACATTTTGAATTGTTTCAAGAAAATAAATTATAATATATCCTAGAAATGGAAATTTTGTTAAAATATGACTATGATTATTATTTATTCGCTATTACATAGGTACCTATAGTTATTTTGAAATCATTACCTATATAATATATCATATAATACATGATGTGACTCTGTATATTATGTGTCGTCAGTTCATGACTACAATTTATTTAAGTTTATATTATAAATGTGTACATGTGACTTAAATATTAACTTTTAATTTAATTTCAGGTTTGTATCTGAAATAAATGGGAATTATCACATATAATATAGTTCTAAAAACCAACGTCCAGCTATTATGGTTATGATTGATATAATCTAAATATTTTTTTGAAAATACTGCATATCCATTGAAATATGTATTAATGAGTAAACTTATGAGTATGTCAAATTTAACGTTACCTGATTTATTTCAAGTTGGTTTTCAAGTGAATTATAATAAAACTCAATGAATATAAAATAATAGTTATTAAAAATTACCAAAACTTAAATGACAATACATAACTGCAGATGTATACCTGCCTATTCATAGTAATGAAAAATACTATGTGTTTTACGCGTGAATTATAAAGTGAAATGATATTCTACGTTAATCTAAGAGTTTAATGATATTCTATGTTATTATAGTTTGTCAATGTTAATAATAGAAATATTCAGGTGTGGCGTCTGCTCTGTAAGTGTTATTAGCGGTTCGTTTTCAACGATTTCAACGTCTTCATCGGCCTCGGGAGTGGATAGAGTTGTCACGTGTATCCTATTAGTTTGACCATATGACGAAGTCTTCGATAATACACCGATCGAATAAGTGGAACCGGGCTTCAAGTCACTTATCTGAAATGTTTAATACTATAAATATTCAATTTGTAATTTTATTAAGTCGTTTCGGCCGATCGCTGTATGCATTTTAAAGGTTTAACCTACTGCGTATATACTATACACTTGCATATACTATTCATTCCGTGATCGATCGTAAATCTATAAAATGTTTAATCTCATAATCACCGTGCAGTTATAAGTTGGTAAGTCTTCTGTTATCGGAATCTCTATATCGGGCTTGCTATCACAGCATTTATCGATGTCTTTAGACGAAATCTCTTCGGTGTTCACTATAAACGATTTCAGCACACCGTTGAATATCCACGGAATGTCCCATTCCAGTGATATGTACGTGGAGCCTACGTCGGTTGTCCTGAGATTTTCTGGTTTATCTGCGACTGTTTAGATTTGTTGTCGAACATATTGTTATTTATCTTTTTTTGAGACTTATAAGTTATAACAAAGTATATTGTATACTCACATCCGTCATTGAAATTGCTGACGACTGATGCCACCGAACCACCTGTAGGATAGTCTATCGACTTGGCTTTTACCTATATAAAATACACAATATTACGAAGTCTTATAGTATAGGTGTTTACTAAAACCTTAAATTCGACATTTGTTGATTAGCGTTGTACATTTATACCTTTATGGTGTATTGGTGATTTGGTATTAGATTCTCAAAAGTAGCGCAGTATAATTTTCGCCAAGCAACGCATCTTTCGGGTTCTACGGTCATTTGCTTTGTACTATTCATATTCTCGTCAATTGCGCTAACGATAAAACCATTGATGATGTTTTCGTCAGGGAAACTCCATCTGATTCCAATTGATTTGCGTTTCAAGTTTTTCTTGTAAACTATTAATTCGTCCACTGGTACTAAAACTGAAATGTAATAAAAATAACTTTTAATATTATAGTAAGTACATATTTTTACGATGTTAAGTATAGTAAGTATGTTATAGTACACCCAGTGGCGTATGCATGGGATTAGGGGAAGCAAAATGTCAGTAAAACTATTTTGTTATTAGCAATATTTATAGCAAGAGAAATCCTTATTACATTTGGTTTTGGTTTTGAATGGTATCAACAATCCTTGTTCCGAGTTGTATCCATAATTCGTTAGTACATATAATTGCAGTTCATATTTGGTGTCGGGTTTTAATTCGTCGTAGTTCACTGTGTTTTGTTTCGTCGAGTTTGATACTTGCGTGCCTTGGATAATATCCTATAAAATACGGTATCATATATTTTTAAAATTACATACTAGTCTAGAACATTATTTGGTATTGTGTTGTGTAAGTATGTCAATGTACGTTGTTTATTATGTAAAAAAATAATCACTAGAAGTTAAATTGATGTATACTTTGTATAGATGCATTATACTAACTTTAAGTATGACCTGGTATCCACGAAAGAAACCATTTAATTTAGAACACTCGGCCTTGTTTATCGTCCAATTAAAGTATGCGCTTTGGTTGGTGATATAATGCGAACCATTTTCGTCGTTAATCACGGGTGTTAGTTTTGGCTCTATAATAATATCAACCAGTTAAGATATTATAAAACATTTTGAATATGTTTGATATTGAAATTTATGAAAACTACTAACTAGAGATAGGTGTTTTTACAAAAACAATATTAGCGTTGTCGCTGTAAGTATATCCTTCTATTGTGGGGTCAACTTTTATAACATACTGTGTGTTCGGTATCAAATTCCAAATTTCACGTCTTGTCTGATTGTAAACTGGCAGCGATGTCCAGTCGTTTGCAATGACTCTGTTTGAACAACTAAAATGTTTATTGACCTATGGACACAGTTTTAAACACATCGTAAAACGGTCTCAAATTATTGTTATTACTTATTTGTAGAATAAACTTATCGCCTGCATGCTTTTATGTTATTAAATAATTTAATATACTATTATGACCACTTACCTTGTATTTTACTACATAATTCAAGGGCGTATTATTTACGTATTTTTCGTCAACATCCCAAGTTACTATCAGTGATGAGTTCTGATTTAGTTTGGCTTTTAAGTTTTTTATTTGGATAAATCCTATAAAATGGGTTTAAAAATTAATGTCTTTTAAGGTAAATGGATTAAATATTAAAAATAATGTTTTCTTAGATGCTGTATTTTACATACCATAATAAGGCTTGGTGTAGATATATGATATTATTGATGGTTCAGCCTTGTCCGTAGCTGATATTGCTGTTACTTGAACTGCGTATTTTTCACCAGGTAGTAGATTTTCAAATGTATATTCATTATTATTAGATTTAACTTCTTCTGAATAACTTTGTTGCTGTTTAACTGTGTGATTAAACATTAGTTTCAACAAGTACTCAGTTATTTTGCAGTTCTCTTCGTTTTGATCGATAATCTATACAGGAAATAACAAACATAAACACATATCTAATAATTAATTATATAATATATTGTTTCAAACTCAAAAAAAAAAATAAATAAAATAACAGAAGGGACAAACAGAAACACTATATGCAATTTTATTTTAGTTGTTTACCTTGTTCCAAGTAACATTGATAGAATCTGTACCACTCAATAAGCTGACATCATAATTAATGTTTCTTGACACTTCATTATACAAAAAATAATTAATATTGTACTACTTTATATGTTCTAAAATGTTATTAATAATTTTCATTTTGTATTAGTTATTGAGTATTGTGTATACTTATGCACTTAGTCGAGTAATTTGCGGTTTTGATATCCTCTATGTTGTAATTCCCGTCTTCTGATACTAGAATCACGCCGAAAGTGTAAGACGTTCCCGGTTTTAGATTATCTATGATTTCTATTACGGACACTTGTTGTCCGAGTTCTTTTAGTTCCAAGTACTGAAATTCTGATTCATTTAAAGCGACCTTAAAAATATAAATGCACCAAAATGAGAGGCGTTCCAAATAGATAAATACATATATATTAAAAAAACCTGATAGGTAATAGGTTAAATTATTGTTAGTATAAATATTAGTATAATATTTGTTGTTATTTTAACAACCCCCTATACTTACTGTATTGCATACTACAAGCCTTATCGGGCCTAATCCTAACTTTTTTTTAGGTTGTTGGGCTGATTTTTGGAACATTAAAATGTATTATTTTTAAATTTTTCATATTATTATTGATAGTGAATTTTAATTAACTATAGACTTTCGATGGGTAAATTGTTATTTTTTTTATTGGATTATAATAATAACCAATATATATTATTATTAATTTTTTATGTTTATAATTGTATTTCCTTGATATACATAGGCATGTACAATATAGAGTTTTATATGATATTTACCTTAAATATTATTTGGTAATAGACTGATTTCACGTCGCTACTGCCTTGTATGTTTTCCGGATTAAAATCAATTTTCAATTTTAGTGACCTTAAATCGGACGATTCCAGTTGTGGCGGTGATTTGAGCCACTGATACTCTAATCGCAAAACGAATTATGCTGTATTAATTTTTACTTCAACAATTACACCTCTGAGGTTTAATAATTTAGCTTTACTTTCTTTGCAATCCGGGGCAATGTAATTCGTAGTCGTACATCCGTTGTTGCAAACACCGGTGTAGATATCACACGATGTCGAAATACATCTCTCTGAACATTGTTGCTCGCAATTTACGCCGTACGTACCACTCGTACATTCTGGTCGTAAAAGATTCATTGATCAAGCGGTAGACTCGTAGTCACAATATAATACAGTTAATATTTTATTATTAGATCTCGAATTTATATTGTGCATTAAATAATGATAATCAAATAATATTTAATGTGCATCAAAAGTCAAGAATAAATCGGAGTTAAAATCGGGAGTCTATCTTTATAAAAAAAAATATTGTAGAATAGCTGGGTAAATATTAAAATATGCTTCGTATATTTTCGCTGCGCATGTATGTACATTTTTTCTTTAAACACTTAAATTTGTATAAAAATTGCTGTTTTGTTTTGAAAATAAAATACCTTACAACGTTGAAATATATAATAACAAGTTGTTGAGTGTTAATACGCACGTGAATCCGGATTTTACTTATAATAACGCGTATACTGTACTCAAATCACAATTATTAATTATTTACATTGCGCTTACTATACCTGTAGTGCAGTTGTCTCCTCTATATCCCGCTGGACACTTGCATCCAAAACCGTTGGTACAAAACATCATCTGTTGACAGTGTGTTTGGTGCATTGAACACATTCCGGTGCAGTCAACGCCAAACGAGTTAGGTCCACACCCTGGTGGATACATAATATATATAATATATATAATATAATGGTATCACGTCGTGCTATTTTTATTTATTTTCACACCAACGCACTTACGATTTCAGATTTTTCAAATTAGTTACCTTGCTCGCATTTATTGCCTTTGAAGCCAGGAGGACACTTACAACCATTTTGGTCTGAAAATCCTCCGTTTAAGCACTCCGAAGACGGTAATATGGATGTTTTCTGCACCGTACGACCTAAAATGTCAGACATAATATGTTTAGCATAAGTGTATAGGTACAATAATATGTGATTCGATTGCGTATAAAGTAAAACTTTTTCACGTTGTGTTTATACACACCCTTTGTATTTATTCGGTTTAAGTTTTATTTTTAACGGCTGTGACTGTAATGCCTCATAGGTAGGATGGAGAATTTGTGTTTTTTTGTGAATGATGAATAATGTCAAATTAATTAAAACCTTACACGGCTTTAAATATTCATCACTAAGTATAAATTATACTCCCCCAGAACTCTACAACATATAAATATATTCGCTCCGACAGCGATTTAAATGACAACTTTGTTCCCATACCTATTTACCTATAAATACGAATAAGAGCTACATAGTGCAAAATCAAACTAGTAGTATTTCATATTTACCAATGTATTTGCTAACGGGACGTATACATTTAACTAAAAAACTGACATATTGTTATATCATTTGGTATAAAGTTAATAGACATCGAGATCGTTCAAAAATTTCAAATACAACAGATGAGAGCATTTCATTATAAACTATAGAGTCAACAGCTTTCAAGATTAGTCCAAAATTTCGACCATAGTGTCCCGTTTGTGGAGTTTATGTATTTAAATTGTATTAGCATTTTTTTGTTCCCAAAACATTTTCATAGTACGATAGAATATTCAAAATAGATTTTCGTATGTGCATATTTTATTACCAAATGGATAAACATTGAAGGTTAACGAAGCTGCTCCATGTGGTGTCTTTTGTAATTCTTTTGCAGTTACCGTTAATATTTCTTCGTTTTCTATTTAACATAACATCGTTATTATCATATGTACATATATATTGTAAATGTATATAAAAAAAATAGACAGTGTTTATTAATGTAATAGGTGATACATATTATGTGTAGAAAACTAGCACAGTGTTATTCTTTTAACTAGTTAATAATTTATCTTCTGAAATGCAATGGACTTTTTTAATTTTAAGTTTAAATATTGATAAACCATATAGAACGTTTATAAATATTTAAATATAAACAAAATGTAATTCAAGTTTGAAAAAAAATACATCTTGTATGGTACTGCGCATTACCCAAGTATTAACTCGAATTTTAATTACCATACTCATCTGTACATTGAGCTATTCGTTTGATTCCAATTTTACAACCACTGGCGTATTCTGTTTTATAAATATACTCATTTTCATAATAATATCCTCTTCTATATTTTTCATTGTATACTTCTACTTCTGATGATTTCTTTTCGAGTTTAAAATTTAAACTATATGTTTTGTTTTCATATAACCGGGTATGTGGCCAGTCATTACTTTTGAACAATACTGTTTTAAGTGTTTTCTGTAAAATAATATTAAGTTTAAATTATTAAATGAACATTTTGTCTAACGTTTAATCCTAAGCGGAATTTTTTTCAAAAAGTAGTTTTTTACTGTGTTGCATGGTATATTTTATTTTTCATGATTTCAGTGACCTTTGATTGATAAAATAAAAATACTCTAAAGTCTAATAGGAGCTATGTGTGTTAACTTCTACCCCAGAAAATAACGTCAAAAGTCAAGTTGGCAGACCGAGAATTAAACCCATTATGCCTGGCGATTCCTCTACCACTGAGGTACCCGAAAACACAGATCTACGACGACGTCCGTAATATAGGCGTATAAAAATGCGTAAAATTAAATAATGTTTTTGTATCCTGTATTCAATTCATAAAAAGTGATTTGGTGCATTTTAATAGAATATATTAGGTACCTATATTTTTTATATGTAGGTATCTGGTATATACATGTACAAAACCAATTTACCGATTCTTTTATATGGTCATATGAATATATGACTTGTTTGTCAAGACTATCTTCATTAGTTAAGTACATTGAAAACGTACACTTCGACTGGTCTTCTAGTAAATATGACATAGATATACACATTTTAATTGAATTTCTTTGTTTCCATTTGATTTTGAACGATTCTGCATTGTTGTTGGCTCTCCACAATAATAAGTCGTACGTTTGATAGCGTTGCGGATATACATAACTATCTATAAGAGCTGGCAATTGATCAAAATTAAAAAATGTAAAATAATTTCAGAAATATACAAATAAATACTGACTGAAAGTTTTTGAAAAGATATTCATGCTTATAATATATTATAATGTATATAATTATATAATATTTTAGATTAACTTTTATCACCGTATTGTGTATACCTACTAGTATTTTCTTACATTTTTCAAAATTTATAACCTAATATAGGTACAGTAATTTATGTACCTTCTAACATATTTAATTTCGAGATAGTCCATTCTCCGATAGAGTACTCAATTTGGTTTTGCGTGGAAATGTTTGTTGGATACTTGCTGTCTGCTATGAATTCTAAGCTTTTTTTATCGGAGCTCAGAATTAATCCATTAAACTCAATTGGCATACCAATTGCATTAGTTCTCAAATGAATGTTTGCATCATAGCACCCGGTACACTTAATGTTATTGAAAGGTTTTTCTGAAAAGAGTAAATTCAATGTTAAGCCTTTGAAATTCAGTTTATCATTAAATATTTACGATTCCTTTCTTCTTCAGCATTATATCCCATTTTATAAATTGTTGTGATGTCATAGTTATCTAAGGAAAAATTTCAAAAGTAAAAATTATTTCTTTGCAAACTCTCTGTAATATATAAAGGTAATAAGTCATTGAAGTTAAAACCAAACTGATGTCAACATAGAGAACTGCAGCAATGTATTAATTTATGTACATTTTTATTAGGTTTTTTAAAAAATCTAATTCAACTCTAATTATGAAGGTTGTTCACTTGTATAAAGAATCGATGAAACTCGTATTAGAAACTAATTAATACGTTTAATTATTCAATATACAATACTCCTACATATTTTATTTTTGTAAAAACTCTTATGGGTTGAACTTTTTCAATAGGTACTTATATTACATTCTTAATACTAATGTTACGTATTATTGAGAAACATACACATATTTATCATAAATAATACATCCAAAGGCACCTATATGATGATAGTCCGATTGAAACTTAAAATATCTATATAAGCTTAATATGATGCATAGTTTCCATATAATAATACATGGGTCCTACTCCTACATAAACTACTTTTGTAATCATTTTTGTGCTACCTATATACTTACGTCAAAAAATAATATTTAACGGGTCATAGATTTTAAGATCAATTATAAAATTAAAAATTAAAAATTATACCTGCAGTATGTGATTTATATTCAATATCATCGCCTACTGCTAGTCCACCGATAACGAGAATGTTTAAAATCAGTATAGTGACGATTTCTTCTTTCATTGTTGTACTTAGGTACTTGAGTTAATTTAAAATCGTAATAGTTGATCGAATTTAAAATAAATAAAAAGTAAAGCACATTATTTAATAGCGCATAAGTAGGTATATGTTATGTACACCACTATTCACCACTGCAAATACGAAGTGAATGAAATAACAGGAAATATATTTACGTATTTTATAGTTTTTGTTACCTGCTAGAATCTAGACAAATATTATTATTACTTCGTTGAGTATCAGACGTCTTAGCCAGTAGCCTGAGTATCAGTCTAATCAAGTCCAATTATTATATGTATAGTGTTTGGATGTAAATAATATAAATATAAATTAACACTTTGAACTCTATACATACATGACTGCGATAAAGGTGTTTGTTCGGAACTTCGGAGTATAACATTGATGTATTTTTACATTTAATGTGTTTCGTCCGGCGGACTCTGCGCCTAATAATATTTGATTAATTTATACCATCTAGTGACTCAAGTATAATGTAAGTTTCTTACAGTTAACCGTCATGGTTAACATTTGTTTTCAATTAAAATGTTTTTGGGCATTTTTTTTAACCGTCAGAAATTTAAGATCCTAATATTATATTTTATACGTTTCACATTTCATTAAAATATGTGTTAACATTGTACAATGTACATCTTCAATATGGGTATAGTTTATACATTTTGAAAATAATTCTTTTTTAGTTGAGCTTTGTAATGTGTTGTTTATATTCTATTATATAGCTATTTTTTATGTATTCTTCTATTCTGTATGTATGACTAGTAAGATCGTAATATTTAGTGCAATTTTGTGAAGATGTTTAAAAAGAATAATAATTCTACTGAAATTATTAATTCTGCTTGAAAAGAATAATAATTCTACCGAAATGATTAAAAATTCAAGATAACAATCTTCGTTTTCATCAAAAACACGGACACCTTCGTTATTATTGTTTACTTATATAAGTACATTTATTATTTGTACGGCTATATATATTATATACGTTAAACATAAAATAATATAAATATACTGAAATGTGTACACTGTACAGTATAGGTACTATGTAATGGTAATGTTAAGATTTTATTCGATTAGTTTCGTTTGGTGTGCATTTTATGTGTACCAAATCATTGACTTCTTCTCTTTACTTATATAATCTTATTCGATTACTTACTGCCATATAGACCATACGATGATTGGATGATCCAAGTCAAAAATCATAACACATGTCATACATATTTTCACTGGCTGAGCCCTTTTTACGTTTTTTATTGATAGGTAAATTGAAAAAGCAGAAAAACAACCGGTTCAACTTATAGTCGATACAGACACTAACGTGGACTCGAATATACTAGATTCCCGATGTATACGAGAATGCTGCACAAAGACAACGATGAACTTTTTGTATACATTCCTTCTATCCGAAAGAGTTGAACATCGTTGTAATACCTATCACTAATATCGCTTTAAGCCATTAGTATAGCTTCAGTATATCGGTTGGAATCCAAAATTAAAAGGTTGGGCTGACGTCCGACGTACACCTAGGAGGCTAGAAATACGTACAATATATGTATTTGTGTGTTTACAAAATTCTCTCGACGAGTGCGTCATATATTATGGTAGACAGTATAATATGGTCGATATTTAACAAACGGGTTATGTTTGTGGTCGCTGCGGTGACCATTGATCGACGACCTGCTCCAGCGTAATATTGGTTCGAGTGGTTCGGGCGATCCATCACCTATATAATATGTATATAATATATATTGTATCATAGTAGGTGCGCATATCGTTATATGATGTCAGTAATTTCAAAAATAAAATCATGATTGTTCAACTATAATTTTTATATTGATATATTAATATTTTTTCAATTTCTGAAGCTCATCTACTATTGCCGTAAATATTGTTAAAAATCCTGGGGGGCTAGAAATATCAATTGACACTTATTAACATAATTTGTTTTACTTACGAAGAAATACGCTGAAAAATATTTGGGGGGCTAAGCCTCCAACTCCAATTTACGCCTATGGAGTTGACTAATTGAATACCAATGGTATGTTTTCGAAATTGCATTCGAGGTTATGTGATTATCACCTTGATCCTTCTATGATATTCTATAATTCATGATTCGATATTATTATTTTAAGGTTCCCAGTAAGCATTTTGTAATGTTAATTTATTATTAATGTATTATTATTATAGCGTTATAAAAATATTATTCTTAACTATAATATTTTTAGATAACAAATTGCTGCCTGGGTTATTAGTTATCACTTATCACTAAATACTAATAATGGTTGAATACGAGTATTGCAGCTGTCTATGAGAATTAGTTATACGTGTTAATAAGTTATAAAGATGATATGGAGTGATGGGGAAAGCAATCGAGTTCGACAAAGTCATCAGTGTTACAAAATAATCAGATCCTAGAACTAGAAATATAAGTAGGTACTAAAAAATAAAAATACAACACTTGTTAGTTTAATGTAAAATCCCAAAATACTTCCAAGCTTCAATTTGAGATCTTTAATTGAGAGGGGGTCGAACATTTTTCAATACCAATTAAAATTCTATGACCTCGATTGAAAAAAAATTCACAATCAAAATCACACGACTACACGAGTAAAAATTGGTAACTAGGAAAGGTAAAATTAGATTAAAATAAGAAAATTGGTCCGATGTCGATCATCGATAAAATTCGACGAGCGATATACGTTATGCGGGTGGCTATATAGTAATAATTAATAAATAATAAAAGTGCCTTCAGTATGGATGTGGTAGATTATGTGGAGAAGGTGGGGTAAGCAAGACGTCTTCGAGCAAGTATAAGATTTTTAAAAACGATAAGATAAACTCAATCGAAAGCAAAAGAAAATAACCGCCAATATAAAATATAAACGATAAAAATCTTGCATGTTGCAATAGTGAGCGCGGATGAAGTGAAACTTCTTTACAGAGGGTATGAAAAAAATCGTTCATCACGGCCACATATTAAGTTTGTAATGGAAAAATGAAATGTTCAATTGAAATAAATTTATTATTGTTATACAAAAAAATCTAGAAACCTTAGGGTCCAAACAGTTAACCGGATTTTGCCTGCCGGCCTATGTTGCTTCGTTTAAAAAAAAATATTACATGGAGTTAGATCGTGGTAAACAGACAGTGACGTTTTTCTTTGACCGTTTGCGCTAAGAGAAACACGACTATCGGTTGGCAAAATCCGATCATCTAATAATTAGATTAGACTCTAATTGGACCCTTAGTGTCGAGTAAGCCACCCCCGTAATGCTTATGTCGCAACTCGCAACGGTTGAGCCCATGAATCCGACTTACGATACCTCGCCTAAAGAAGTCAGGGAATATTCGATAACCATTGAAAAAAGAAAGTCAGATAAATTTTGAAACCATTATTTATTATACTATACAGTTTTAAACGTTAGGTGTATAAAAAAATACATATTTTTTTAAATAATAACATTTTTATTTTTCGGTATAGTCGTGGTGGTGATCCNNCCCCCCCCCCCCCCCATTGCTAATTTCCTTATTCCGCGTATGCCCCCTCCAAAGCTTTGTCGCCTAGTAGTGCGATTGCACCCATTTCACTCCCTCTTAAGTGCTACCCAGTATAAAGGGTACTTTTTTGGATATAATTTATTGCCATTGCTACTACTATTGTATAATATAATATTTGTCATAAACATAGCGCTTGCTCTGTCATAGAAAGCAATATATATTTGACGATGGTATGTGTTTTAGTTACCTATAGTGAAACATAGTCATATTTATTGTAACAAATTGTTGGGTTTATTCTGTCTTTTGTCGATCGGCATTATAATCTTCATTCATCAGAAAACAAAGTCGCTTGAACATCACGCTACTGCAGGACACATCCTACCACCTTAAACTCCACGGTAAAATATTGTACTATACAATTTAAACGTCTGAAAAATATAATTAATCAGTCCTCTAAATTTTTTTAAAAATTCAGGATTCAAATGAAAATCTCGTGTCGTTTGTTCATTTGAATTTGAGCATAAAAATAGGGTGATCTTATGTTATAATATGACATCTAAAAAATATTTACTCTGTACAATATATATTATACCCCGTGTCTGTGCCGGCGCAGCTGTTGTTTGTAATTATTCTGATATAGCCGGTTGGGGGTTGCAGAAGACTAATTGTTTTTGGTGGGCAAGCCGCACATCGTAAATTATCATTTATCACATATTAATGGCGACGACAATAACATTTTAAAGGCTCTTAGCTTGTGTATGCGCGAATAGAGTGTCACTTAGCCTCCTAAATATCGGTCAAATATTATATTCAAAGCATCATAATATTTTATATGTTGTAGGTAACTAACAATATTTTTTTATCATTTGTCTTTTACTTTAAATTCTATCATCTACGAGTTTGAAAGTTGAAATTTGGACTGTTCTTAGAATTGGTGAGACCAAGTTAAAAAATAATTGTGAAGCCTATAATACATTTTTAATCATAATAGTCTGTTCTTAATAATTGATTAAAAATTAACCAACTCCAAAAGAATCGTCCTACTCTAAGTAGAAGCAGAAAAATAGTCTTTGAGTTGCATACCAAACAAGTAATTATATATTAGGACTTTATGTAGCAGGTGGTATGGGATTTTTCCAAATCATATATTTATATATTTAAGAAGTGAATTAAGCCTGTTGGGTGTTTTAAAAGTATTACTGTAGGTATGTCTCTGTACCCTTTGGTTTTGTATTTTCTCCATTATCATATACTTGACCATGATAATCGTATTAATTAGGTACTTATTAGACAATTATCTTTTATTGTTTATCTATGAAACAAAAAAGTTTTGATGCTATGAAATAAAACAATTTTTAAAACCTATTTTTCTATTTTTTCCTGACGCAAATCCCAAATCTAAGTAAAAATTATAAGGCCCAAGAGGGTTAGGGGATGTTTGAAATTTTCGATATGAGTGATACATATGCAAAATATTGGTACACCTCGCCGACCGCAGCATGGGTGACTGGACACCATACTAGTGTATACAAAACGCGTACTCGAGTCTTAGCACTGCGACACCAAAACTGCTGATGTTCGATCAACTGAATGAACACTGGCGATGAAAATCATCGGGGTTGCCCACTCACCAGTCAACCATATTTACCACTGTCAACGAATTCGTAACACGGACGAGGTTACCGCCATTGTAATATGGCTTATGTATTCGCGGACGAGTATTCTCGATATTTTCCGACGATCGG